TGGTAAACTTCACCCTAGTTAGTCTAGTTAGTCTGTCTTTGTAAAATAAGATTTCCAGATAGGAAAAAGATAAAAGAGGCTTTAGAGTGGCTGGCAATGTACAGTATTGCAGAGATGGTATTTGTTCCCAAATAAATAGAAAATTCCAATAGGAAACACAGGAAGAGGGGAGTAAAAACAGACAATTTTGAGAAGAATGCAATATTAAACAAATGGGCTGTCTTCCCTTTTAATATGTTAGGGGCCTGATCCAAAGCCCATTGCAGTCATTGGAAATCTTTCATAGAAGATTAGGGCTGGAAGAGACCTCAGGAGGTCATCTAGTTCAACCCCCTGCTCAAAGCAGGACCAACCCCAACTAAATCATCCCAGCCAGGGCTTTGTCAAGCCAGGCTTTAAAAACCTCTAAAGATGGAGATTCTACCATCTCCCTAGGTAACCCATTCCAGCACTTCACCACCCTCCTAGTGAAATAGATTTTTCCCAGTATCCAACCTAGACCTCCCCCACTGCAACTTGAGACCATTGCTCCTTGTTCTGTCATCTGCCACCACTGAGAACAGCCTAGCTCCATTCTCTTTGGAACTCCCCTTCAGGTAGCTGAAGGCTGCTATCAAATCCCCCCTCACTCTTCTGCAGACTAAATAAGCCCAGTTCCCTCAGCCTCTCCTCGTAAGTCATGTGCCATGGTGGCCATAGAGTCTAGGACCAGAAGGGAACACCAGATTATCTAGTCTGACCTCCTGTGTACAGCAGTTAGTCAGCTTGTACCATTCTCTTGCTTATCACACCTAAAAGAAAAACATGGACAACGCAGCCCATTGCTGGGACATTTACATTCCCAGAGAATGTTTCCCAGGTTTATCTTCTCTTTCCCCAGCTTCTGTCTCATTTTTGCCTTCTCAAGGCCTTTGTTTCAATCAAAAAGATGGGTGAAAGATCCTTTTCATGGCTTGCTGCACTGTCTTAGCTGAGCAGACTGACAGAGTGAATGCAGGACACTGATTTCCCTGCTGGAAAATTAAGATCAAGGGAACATTTACATGGAATGAAAACTTGATTTTAACTTTCACTTGTTGCATTCATTTGACCAGAAGTATTACATTTCCAAAATCTTGTTTCGATTTGTGCTGGTGGGTTTGACCTCATTTAAAACAATCCATGAGGTTTGGGGTTGTAAAGATCAGAATGAAAAGAGTCATGAATCTGGTTAAGTACACCTTGACTGCAGTTAAATAAACCACATTTTTCTAAAGGGCCTCAGCATAACGTCTCTTTCTGATTTTCGCTTGTATATGCAATTTTTATGCACTTTCATTTGCAGGTATAGCTGATAGAAGGCCACATTTTCAAAATATGACCTTTATAAGCATGTGACCACTTGCATGTGTACTTTTTGCATGTTACCAGACAGACATAGGGAAAGAATAACATAGGGCATTTGGGTGAGGGAAGATGACTAACTATTGTCATTTACATGCTACTTTAGATGGTTAAAGCACAATCCAAACATCAATTAACTATTAACTAACATAACTGTTAATTAATTTACTTAAACGATTGGACAAAGTTTCAGCCTGCAGTGGAGCCTGAGTTCCTAAACTTGACACCTGCAAAGTCTGCTTTAATCTATGATAGTGTGTTAGCTGGGTGGGTGGAACAGAAGAAATCATAGCTTCTGGTTCAGTTTCTATCTCTACTACTGATTAGTTGAGTTAGCTTCAGTGGTGCGAGTAGAAATCATTTCTTCCCGGTATGCTGTACTCATGAGGCACACGGGAGGATGTGACCACCCTCCCTCCATGTGACCCCTTCCCCTCCTCCTCCCCCCCCCCATTCTCCCCATGAAGTTCCAAGTCGCCATGGCACACAGGGCAGCAACCACACAAGGTCCTGAGACAGCCGCAAATGCCCAAACCCTACAAGGTATTTCAGAACCCACCTCTCCATTCAATCAGAGGTAGGCACCTAAATACATCTGTGGAACTGGACAAATAATGTTTCTGTTGTGGAGCTCCCATTCTACACATCAGCAGTGTGAAAGGGACACTACCCCAAAGTCCTAATAGTCCCAGGAGCAGGAGGGAAATCCAGCCCCTATATCCTGCTTCCAGCCCTTCTCTAATAGAAGGGGGATGCCATTTGAGAAGGAACTGTGTGAGCTGCACATGTTGCTGCAAGAATGCAGCAGGCTGGGAGTTTGAGCCCAGGGAACAACCTGTCTGTATAGACACTATGGGCCTGCGTTCACTGCACACAAGAATCAGTCAGAACCCAAAGGGAAAGAGGGGCTCTGATCGGTAACTAAGAGACTGATAGTGGAGAGGCTGAGGGACAATTTGTTTGCTGATAAAGATAAGTGTTGCTTATAGAGGGGGTTGCTTGTTTACTGCAAAAGAAGCTGGAGTGATTTCTGGGTGAATTCCTACCTCCCCAAAAGCTTTAAGAAGGTTTTGGGGAGGTAGGAAGGGGAAAGGAAAGGGGTGGGAGGTTGTACCTAACTACCTGAGAGGTAGCTATCCCTACAACATTGTACTTTAGCAAGCAACTTTTAACCCAGGATCACAAAAGCCTATTACACCTACAAGTAAATTATTATTAGCCCTATTTTACTGATGGAGAAATTGAGGCCAAAGTTTTAAGTGATTTTCCTAAGCTAACCAGTGGTGCAAGTATGGTGGTATGGTCCAGTATGCCATACCAGTAAGATATTTATAGCTGGTACAGCCAGGGGTGAAAGTAGAAATAGGGACTTACCAGTACGGGGCTGGGTTGGGGCTAGCTATGGCCCCCAGAAGGGGCGGGGCAGAAGGGGCAGGGATGGGGGGGGGGTCAGAGCCAGCCCCGGCCCGCCCTGTACCGGTAAGTGCCCTCCCCTGCTGGGGTAGTAGCGTCAGCCGGGGGCTCCGGCAGTAGTTTAAAGGACCCAGGGCTCGGATGCCACTACTGCCCCAGGCCCTTTAAACCACTGCCGGAGCCCCCGGCTGCCACTGCTACCCCAGGGCTCTGGCAGCAGGGCTCTGGGGGCTATTTAAAGGGCCTGGGGCTCCAGCCACTGCTGGGAGCCCCAGGCCCTTTAAATTGCCACCTGGGGAGCCCGGGCCGCCTGGATACGGCGCACTGACTCTTGTCGGTACGCCGTACCAGGGCATACCAGCTTACTTTCACCTCTGGTACAGCGTACTGGAAAGACACAGGAGGAGCCAGTTCCCAGCCCCACCCCCACACAGTCACATTTCCTGAGTCCTCCTGCCTGGGGTCTGTAAAGCAGAAGTCTCTGGCAGGAGGAGTTCAGAGCCCCTCCCAGGTAAGGTGGGATGGATGTGGATCATGGGGAGGGGTCAGGGAGAGCATGGGGGCACTGGGCTGGGGGCAGGGAGGGGAGGAGTCACATGGGGGGAGTGGCTCAAAAAGGACAACCGGCTGCCACTTGAGTTAGAGAGCACCCCCTGCTGCTCTAGCAGCCTCTGGCCTTCTGTGGCAATGGAGAGGTTCAGATTCAGAGTCGTTCAGAAGGGGACAGTGCTACGTACATACACATACAGTTTGTAGCACTGTGACATGCTTTTGTGAGTCCTAAAAGGTTTTAAAGATTTATGACCAGTTCCCATAGAAAGTAATATTGAAGTGACTTCTCTTCATGTAATGTAGCAGTTGAAAGCAGTGAGAAAATTATACACGTAAGCAGGGTCTGAATGAGCTTTCCCCTGACATCTAATGATGAACTGGAGGGAAAGACTTCAGGAGCAGAAAGCATTCACATAGACACCCAGTCTTCCTAGATGTTCAGCAGATAGACCTGCTTTGCCAAAGTGATCAATTTTGGCTGGTTTTGGGTTACAATTCACTTTAGTATTGAACGCAGGGGTAATTAAATGTTATCCTTATTGTACAAGTAAACAGCAGCAGGACTGTACTTAGCACACCCTGACTGAGGGGGGTCACCCTGATCTGAGCCTCACTTGCTAAGCGGGGGGGCAGGGATGCCAACTCCCAGTGAAAGAGAGGGGGGATGGGGACAGGTATTCCTAACTGAGTGTGGGAACTCTGCTTTTAGAGTCTTTGATGCCATTTAGGGTGACCAGATGTCCCGATTTTATAGGGACAGTCCCGATATTTGGGGCTTTTTCTTATATAGGCTCCTATTACCCCCTACCCCCTGTCCTGATTTTTCACACTTGCTGTCTGGTCACCCTAATGCCATTTGACCCTCCCTTCTCAAGTGTTTAAAGCTAATTAGAATTAATTGAAAGGCCTTGTTTCTGTTCAGTGGTTACCAGGGCTAAAATTACTGATGAGCAGGTTTAGGGGCTAAGCCTTGCGCCTGGTGCAGGGAACACAGGGACTGCACTAGCAGTGAGGTTCCCCCACTACCCAATGTAATTGCTAAGATCTGAAATCACTAAGACGTGGGCTAATTCACAGAACCTGAGAATGCAGCATCACAGAAGTGGCAGTGAGTGGCCAGCGATAGCAGAGAAAACAGCACACCCATGGCCAACAGAGGCAGTGGCAAAGAAAACCGCAGCAACTGAGGAACTGCTTGTCCCTCTCCCCCACCTTTTCAGGGGTGGGAGGTGAACCTACACGAATGCAGCTCTGAATTCTGAATCCCCAATTTAATGCTGGGCTCCCTTTCCCTTTTAATGAAAGTTTTCTTTTGGTATACAGAGACTCAGTGTTTGCGAGAGCGAAGTATAGCCCCTTTGAGGAATCCAGGCGTTGTGGTTAATTTCCCCAAATTATCGGGTGAGGGCTCGAGCCAGTTCTGTTTTGTATTGTTAAAAGGAACCCCTAGATATTTAACCCGGCCCTTGTTGCTGCTGATAGCACCTGGCAAACGGTTACATACATATTGGCCCTGCCAGTGAACATAGCGAAATTTCCCAAATGGAAATGACTTTCCAGTTGCTCAAATAGCTTTGTAGGTGGAAAATAGTAAATGCACATTTGACAACTTATGAATATGCATATTTTTTAAAATGAACTACACCTAGCGGTTTATTCACTGGCTTTTTATTGCTAGCTTTTGCATTGGTCTATATGGGGATGATACATTTAGATGTGAGGTGTCACTGCGGATGTAACTTCTGCTTAAAATATGGACAGTGCTTAAAGTGTAAATGGCTTGTGTTGAACTAGGTTAACATGTCTGAGCTTTTGAAACAGGCACCTTCAGAAAAATGAAGCCAGTTTCTCCCTATTTTCACCCCTGCCCTGTGGTGTTAAAGGCTTACCCATCTAAATGTCTACATCTTCCTCGTCGCCATGGCGGCTCCGTGGGAGACCAATCCACAGACATCTGTAAGGGGCACGCTCCACACATCAGGAAAGGCTGCATTATTGGATGAAAATGTTCCTTTTGAAGTCATGCGGAGGAGATACTGTTGAAGCACATTTATTTTCAGTTGGATGAGATGTCTTGGGATCCACACTGCTACCCCGGAACTTGACCCAGCAGCCTGGCAACAACATATCTGGGTTTGGCAATGAGACTGGAACTTTCACTTTCCTGGAGACACAGGGCTCAGGTCTTCAGTGCTGCAGCTGAGGGTTGAGACAGCAGCTCTGAGTTACCCCTCGGCTGCTAAGCAGGGTAAGCAGCTCTTTTGACTCATGATGTAAATTGAGAGGAGCAAGTGTTGGAGGGTCAGCGCTGTACCCAGCAAGTGTTGGAGGGTCAGCGCTGTACCCAGCAATTGCCATGTGGCATTCAGCAGCTGGCTGGGAGAAATACTGTTTTCGGAGAATCTCCAGATGCTTTTCTGTGTGAGTGACTGGCCTTTATGGCTGCTCTGGAGTGCACTCGGGTCAGGCAGTACTCCTGACTGGCAACAGGAGGAGCTGAAAAACTTTAGCAGTGCTATTACAGATGCCATTTGTATTCACATTATTGCACTTAAGTTCCTATGACCTGGCCACATACTTCCTCTACCTCTCAATACTCGCTTTCCCCCTACTCAGCAGTCCTCACATCAGTGTGGGAATAGAGCTACTTTGCATGAAGGCTGTTGCTCTCTGCACATCCTCAAGCAGTGCTCAACGGCCTGTAGGCTCCAAGATAATCAGCAGCCTACAGGACCGTTAGCAATACAGCAATCTTAGCAGCTCTGCTGTATCTCTGACATCAACAGAGTTAAACCAGGAATGAGTTTAGTATGGAGACTATAAGCTTCTTGCAGGTAGGTAAATTCATGACACACACAACCCTTAAACAGGCAAGAAAAGTGTGGAGAGTCCATACAGGTGTCTGGAGCTACTGCATGCTGCTGGGTTGTACTTCATAGGGCCTCCCTTTACTCCAAGGCTTTGGGAGAAGGGGTGGAGGAAGAGGAGAGGAAATGGCCTAGCTGATGTCTATCCATCCATCTTGATTCACTAAGTGGATCCCACGATATGTAGGCCTGAATTGCCAGAGCTGGCCACGTAGTAGCTCTGCTTCCACTTCATGTCATGGGGAGAACGTCATCATCCTGCTGCTGCTAAAAATACCTAGCTCTTATTTTATGCTTTTCATCAGTAGATCTCAAAGTGCTTTACAAAGGAGGTATTGCTATCCCCATTTTACAGATGGGAACTTGAGTCCCAGGGAGGTAAAGTGACTTGCCCAAGGGTCACCCAGCAGGATAGTAGCAGAGCCAGGACTAGAACACAGTCCCAGTCCAGTGCTCTATCCACTAGGCCATGCCACCTCATCCAGACACACTGCTCGGGCTACTTGAACTGTGATGTTCTAGGATCAAATACACAATTTCCCCACTGATTGTGACAATTGGAGTAGGGTGTGGGAAATTTTTCCAGTGGAAAAGGCGTGTTACATTAAGAAAGAGGACAGAGGTACAGATATTGCTGTCCCTCATTGACTACTTAAAAGAAAACTGTGAATAAAGAACCACAACCATGACCTACATAATAATAGCTCAAAAACAATTAGTGCATTGGCACTGTAGGTAGACCATATGAGGAAATTAATTGTAACTTGAATTGCAAAGCATTATCTGTAAAATACACTCATTGCTCACCATATATTAATAGTTATTTGATATGTGGGTTTCTGTTAATATTTTAATCTACTCTATACATTAATATTCAGAAAAAAATACCTGTCAAATAGCCAATTCATAATTTCTAGTCCACTGTACAAGTTTAGCTATGTAATTTTTATGGTATTGTCACTGATTTACCATACAAGGTATACATTGCCTCTCAATATTTATTAATGAATTGAATGCTCATGAATGTTGCTGGATCAATAGCTTTGGAAACTGAAGTCTCAGGTATAGCAGAAGTAGCTATATTGTAAGATTCCTTACAACCAGCGTTCCTCAGCCCTCTTAATAGGGTGACCAGATGTCCCGATTTTATAGGGACAGTCCCGATTTTTGGGTCTTTTTCTTATATAGGCTCCTATTACACTCCACCCCCATCCCAATTTTTCACATTTGCTGTCTGGTCACCCTACCTCTTAAAAAGGTAAGCATGTTGGACAGTAAGAGGATAATTGAATTCAGTCTGCTAGGCTACACAGTCTTTGCTCCCTCTGCTGAGATTGTCAAGGACTCAATAAAGGACAGATTGATGTTAATAGGGTTGGAGCTTTGTACAGGTGGATACCTAGTAGGAACAACCATGAGAACACCCATTTTTTACACACAGACCATCTGTTTTGTGTCACATTCTTTAGGTACCTAGTTCTATTTGTTTGAACTATATTGATTGTAATTGTCTGTGACTCACTGTGAGACATTTTATATGAATTAACTTGTAAATTACTGTTACCACAAAATATTGTGAAAACATTGTGTATGATTATCTCTGAATTCTCCAACAAAGATTTTAAATCTTAACAGCACCCCCTAACAGGCTAGGTTTCAATTAAAAGCACTTACCAAAACAAAACATGCAGATTAAAAGATCAGCTACCCAACTAGTTCATATTCCACCAACTTTGGAAAAAGAACTTTGATGCTAAAAATTCAATAATACATACTAGTAGTATAAATTACAAATGTTGCACTTCTAGGAAGCTTCTTTTCTGATAGCAGTGTGCTTTGTAATATTTAAGGTTTCAAAGTTGATGGCTCTTATGAGGTACTAATTTTTGGTATTAGAGCAAACTCACAGGTTATAACAAAGGAAAAAATTACAAATATGGGTACTGAACTTATACTGTACATGCAAGAGACATTTGGATTCAATTTTAGGACCTGTTGACTTGATTGTTCACTTTTATGCTAGTGTAACTTCACCTTAGTCACTGATATTCCACCAGAGTAAAGCTGGTGTAATGAAACACAGAATCAGGACACAAACACACATTAAAATCTTTAGCCAAATTTTCACAACCATGGGAAAAGGGGGTGGTGGTGTAGAAGCTGGCCTACTTCTGCCCGGTGCTGTCCTTTTGTGGGATAGACCTATAGCAGCTCTCTTCTCAAGAGAAGCCTGTTGTTAGTTAGTGGGTGTCCCACACTCACAGCTCCCACCCTGTTATGTGGTGCTAGCTGGCATCCCTTGTGGCCACTGTTAGAGATGTCCAAAAATTTTTTTGTCTTCAGATGGGATCAGCGTAGAAAAATTCTGCATGATAGGGCTAGATAATACAAGATATTTCTTCCAACCCTAACCACAAGTCTATTTACTTTCATCTTTTCCAATGCTAGCCATTTACAGATAAGCATTTGGTACTAGCTTAAATGCAGTGCATGCTTTCAAAAATTATTTATAAAAACAAATGGGCTTTGTTATATGCTACCATTTTGAATGATCTGGAATTATTTACAATAGTTTTGGAGATATCACAATAATCTTAAATAAGGGTTTTTTCGCCATCCTTTTCATCATCTTCCACAATCACTGTCTGCTTTTCTTCTTTAAGCAGGTTAGTACCTTAAACAGGAAAAAAAAATTAAAACAAACTAAAAACTAGTCAGGTTAACATATTCATTGTTTACAAGGGCCTAATTTTCCTATCCTTTCCAATTGTTTGACACTCAGTGGAGTTGCTTCTGATTAAATTTGGATAATCAGGCCCCTAATATTTAGTAAACCTGAAACTCGTGTCTGTTTTTGTACTTTGTAATTACAATTATTGGACATTCTCACACACTGCTCATACCTGTTCAAATAACTAGCACATTGTGGTTTATTCTCAGAAATCTTCTGGACTGTTTATTACTTAGATTTTGCAAATGCAGATTCCAGAATGGGCAAATGCTGAAAGACTTAACAGCCAGCTCCCACACATCCAGTATCATCCCCACTGAAATGAATCTAATGGCAAAATGTTGCCTATGTAAATAAAAATATGAACAGGCTCCCATGCATTACCAAAGACATTGTACCAGTACAAGCAATACTGAGCTTTGTGAATTTGAACATGCATCAAAGAAGATCTGTCTGTAAATGAATACTAAGGATAATTAAGAAAACCACACACCCATTGCCAAGGCACTGGAGAACTGTACAGCTTAATATAGAGAGGAAGGATGATCTTGTGGTTAAAGCACAGGACTGGGATTCAAGAGATTTGGGTTCAATCAGCCACAGAATGCCTATGTGACCTATCATTTAATGTGTCTGTGTCTCTGCTTGTGAGCTCCCATCTTTTGTCTGTCTAGTGTATTTAGAATGTACAAACCTAGAGCCTAGAACAATGAGGCCCCACTACTGACTGGGGCCTCTATGCACTACAGTGATACAAATAAATAATAAAATATAATTAAAAAATGATGCCCCTAAAATGAAATGTTAAAATCAACCAATGGAATCCCACAGGCAAAGGCTCTACTCAATCCTTATTTTAGCTGAACTGGTTTGTTTTGCCCATTCCTATTTCAAAAAAAACAATGAATAGCCTCCACAGTATGTTTTATTTCCACTGTCTTTAGTATGGTGGCTAAAATATTCCATAAACAGGGTGAGGGGAAACCCGGACTTGAAGCCAAGCAAATCGCTTTAAGTCAGTCGCCTACTGTTTGCTGTCAGTGCGCTCCAACCTGCCAAGTTGTTCTGTCAAACTAACCCATTTTCTTTCTTTCTGTGTTGAAAGTCCTCTTATAATGAAGCAGTTCATGAAGTCTGAAAATAGCGCAAAGGAAGCTATGCCACACAGGAAGGCTTTCTTCAATTCTGGACACTCTTCAAGAGGTGAGGAATTAGGGACACAGATGATTGACCTAAATTACTATTTTGAATTCAGGTCTGGTTTTGTTTGTATGGGGTTTTTTACCAATTAGTTGATTTTATTGGGGGAGGGATGAAACTTCAAAAGGTAAGTGTGAAATACAATGGTGTGTCCTTCAAACAGCCATTGAGTGACTAATACTGGAAACTGGTAACAGGGAAGCCATTTTAAAGTGATGGAGAGAGAGAGAAATGTTCCACACCCAGGTTTCAACTCAGCCCCTAGCAAAAAATGTTCCAAAAATACAGACATTTATTTTTATCCCGTTATTTCTGCATCTTTTCCAAAATGTTCCCTGCCTGCAATGGAAGCTTATAATGTATAGCAAACAAAACTAAAGTTTAGAGCTATGATCTATAATCCTATCTCCAGTGCTTCTTGGTTCTTATCTGAGTTACAAAACAATAAGGAAAAAGCAAATGGGCTCCTAGCCAGACTATAGGAGCATCAAAATTACTCCGTGCGTGAAGCAATTCCACCTACCACAGCTAATTTTAGCAGAAATTGTCTTCAAGGCCCAGGGAGCTAGGCACAGCTGGAGGGTAGCAACAGGACTCAGCAGCCCAGCTATAAGGAGTTGTTGTCATTCAATAATCACATGCTCACCAAAATAGAGTGCAGTGGTGACTGAGAGTGCTCCCAAAATATAATCCTGGCGGGATTCCTGAAGCTGGTACAGTGTGTTATGTAGATCAAAAGCACAAGATAGTGTGGTCTAGATTGAATGTGCAGAGTGGTGGGATTAGTAACACCTGTGTGCTAATCCTGGCTCTGCTTACTGATTTAGTGTCTGGGCAGGTCACTGAGCCTCTCTCCCATCTGAAAAATGGGCATCATAACATTCAGCATAGCGTCATACAGATGTTTTAAGGATTAATAGATTAGCCAGCATCTCTGAAGTATAAAGCAGCGCATAAATAAATACAAAGTAGTGGTAGTAGTTTACAATAGAACCTAGTGCTGATGAGAAATCTGTAACCCAACACTAGGCTATCAGTGGCTTCAGACTCTAAGGTCCTTGCCAGAGCTGTGCTGAGTACAGTTTAGCAAGGGGAGGTAGAGGATCTGTTGCCAGTCTTGTCCCTGGTGCACCTTAGAGCTTCCTCGGGGTGTTTATATCTGACTGTTTATCAATCATAGGGCAATTCCTGTCAAACTGAGGCTGGTGAGGGGATGGTGTAGAGCTGCTTTGCTGGTGCTACAACATGCAGAGACTTCCTCTGTGTACCGCGGTGTTTCTCAAACTGGGGCTGCCGCTTGTGTAGGGAAAGCCCCTGGCGGGCTGGGCCGGTTTGTTTACCTGCCCCGTCCGCAGGTCCGGCTGACTGTGGCTCCCACTGGCCGCAGTTTGCTGCTCCAGGCCAATGGCAGCTGTTGGAAGCGGCGTGGGCTGAGGGACATACTGGCCCCGCTTCCAGCAGCTCCCATTGGCCTGGAGCAGTGAACCGCGGCCACTGGAAGCCGCGATCAGCCGGACCTGCGGACGGGGTAGGTAAACAAACCGACCTGGCCCGCCAGAGGCTTTCCCTACACAAGCGGTGGCTCCAGTTTGAGAAATACTGACAAAGGAGAGGATGAGGGCTTGAGAGTGTGGTTTTATAATTATCTCAAATATCCGTTTGTCAGGAACAGCTTTGCCATATTCACACGAATATTTACATTCTTGTCAAAACCTGCATTTGCAGAGGGCTCTTCAGAAACCCTTAAGTTAATTGAATATGCTGCTAAGTGAGGCTAGCAATAAAAGGTGTTTCAAATCTGATGCAGATCATTTATGGTCATGGGTGGGAGCTACATTAGAATTGTGGTTACATTGGCCCAGATCCTTGAAGGTACTGAGGTGCCAAACTCACAACAATGGAGATCAGGGCCATTTTCCCTTCTTTATTCCATCAGAAGTCCAAGATGTGGGCTGATTTGATTTATTTGCTATTTAAATAGCTTTTGCTTTTCTAAAGTGATGCATGTCTATAAATGTTTTTGAAATGCAAGCATGTGACAACAACTAGTGGGGCAAGTTTTGTACCTGTTAATTATTTTTTAATGTCACTTACTAATGATGAACTTACATTTATCCATAGCATACTGGGGAAAAGACAGATTTTAAATGAAAGCATTGCTCCAGTAAGATTTGCATCTTGAATGCCACAGTAATTTATCAAATGCTTTGGACTTATTGCAACACACATGATCCCCTACCCATGAGTAGATTGGATGCACATGTATCTCTAACTATAAGGTTAAGATAAAATGAGGAAGGAATGGCAAATTTACCAGAACTCAGAATTCCTTTGAATGTATCTCCTGTTCTGCAGAGGAAGGATGGTCTTATGCTTTAGGCATGAGACTGGGACTCAGGAGACCGGCGTTGAATTCCCAGCTCTGCCAGTGACTTCCTATGTGACCTCGGGCAAGTCAATTAATCTCTCTCTGACTCAGTTCTTCAACTGTAATGTAGAGGTAATAATATTTCCTTTCCCCTTTTCCACTTCACGTTTACGTGTCTTGTTCACGTAGCTTGTAAACTCCTTGAGGCAGGGACTCTCTCTTAGGTGTAGGCACAGTACCCAGGACAATGGGTCCCTGATCTTCATTGGGATGTTTAGATGTATTAGAAGTAATAATTCTGGACATTATTGTGTTTTTGCATAGCTTGCTGGTATTGATCGTTGTGCTCTAGATTGAGTCCTATCCCTCTTTGGGGACTCGCTGAAGCCTTGGGCAAGACATTTAACCTCTGTGTGCCTCAGTTTCTAATCTGTAAATACTTATGTATTTCATGGGGGTGTTCTGAAGATTAGTCCATGTTTGTTAAGTGTTTGGAAGATGTAAAGTAGTATGGTCTTGATTCTGCCCCCCTCATTCCAGGAGCAGTCCTATTGAGAAGTGCGACAGAAACAGTCCCTAGAGAGTCTCTAGCCACCCCAAAGTGGATAGGACTGACCTCAAGTGATCAAGGACAGCTCATCAAAAATGGAGGGAGGAGCCAAGGGGAATGATTTTCAGCTCTATCTATGGGGAAAATGTTTGTGAAGACAGCTTTTAAAATATTGGTTAAGTAAGCTAAAATAGGTAGTGTTGGTTTGTAGTTTTGTTAATGCTTGATGCTTTGGCATTTAGTAGCAACTAGGGAGAAAAATAAAACCTAAAACTGGAACAACCTACAGTGCAAGTTATTGAGAGAGCACTGAGCATGGAATGTGCTACTTAGGCCACACATCCAGCAACAGCAATAATAGAGGACTAGGGACAGAAAGGCCCTTTTATGTTTGTTTGGTGCGAATAACCCTGCTGGGGCATCTGGGATTTGAGCCTATAATTGAGATTTTGTTTTGCACAACTGTTCCACAAGACCTCATTTTATTTATTCTCTCCTTGCTGCCTTACTGGGTAACCCTAAAAGTAAATAAGTTGTAAATACTGGACTAGTCCGCAGCCACAGCAAGTCATTTTCTCACTGCAAGCCATGCACCACTGCAGCCTACATCTAAATATCAGCTTTTTGTACTCCAGAATCCAACCTGAAAAGAAAATATGCTTCTTTGAAAGGGGAGACATTCAAACCTAGGCACACAAGCCACTCGAGCCATGTCACACACACAGAATATGCCACAGGGATTATTAGATGACAGATGAACTCTGCAGGAGAACTGTACTCATAGAAAGGCAGCTGGGATGGGAATGCTGTATCTAGGGAGAGGCA